GGTATTTTTGCTTGAGAACCTTAAAAGTTCAGTCCAACTCTTCCTGAATTGTCTTTCTTAGTCTTCTTAAAAAAACAAATTTTCTTCACTTGTAACCCTCTTCCATGCAGGATCCTTCTAGCTCCTGTTTTTCAGTGATGTATCTATTCCACAGAAATGAGGTCAAATATTATATGGCCTAACTGAAAAGAGGTTTAAAAGAAGCCTACAAGGGATGTCATAACTATTAAATGGTATGAAAAATACATGCACAGACCCTGCTGTGGTCTTCTGGAAAAAGCCCTGTGCTACCTGATATTAATCCTCAGGGCTTCTGGATCCACTCACAGGCTGCAGAATGAAAGAAAAGAAACCATGAAACCCAAAACAAAGCCAAACCCAAAACAGAGGTGAGAGAAGGAAGACCAAGTATAAACACAACCATTTATCCAGTATCCCAGGTTTTCCATAGAACATCTTACTGCTCACACATACCTCTCTTGATCCCCAGTCATCCTTCTCTCAGTTTGTTAGCTCAGACGGTAGAAAACGGGATTATGCTGCAATACAAAAATAAGTTTAAAATGATAGATAGATAGATAGATAGATAGATCAATAGATGGATAGATAGATGGATGGATGGAGGAACGGAAGGAAAAGGCAGGACAAGGAAAAGGAAAAGGACAAGGAAAAGGAAAAGGACAAATACTTGGGAGTGTAGGGGCAATTTTTCCATACTGCTGTCAGAATGAAGTGCCATTTCCTAGGTCCTTCCCTAGTAGCAATTTGCTGGCATTGCTTGCTCCAGGCAGGAAATGCAAGTTAGCTCCTGCAATTCCACTGGTAAATGTCTCCATGGGAAAGATGACACTGATGGGAACCAACAGGCACATCTCCTCCTAGAAGAGAAAGTTGGAATTTGCCTAATATTGTGGGTGCCATTGGCATTTTTAGTCACAAGACTTCATTTTTTCTGAGCTGCCACTTCTCACCTGATTGTCTGTCCAAAAATGATCTGCTGGACTCCAAGTCCAAAGTGACCACTCCAGAGGAATTGGCCATCAAGTTAAGATGCAGCTTTAAGATCTGAGCAGGGGCACAAGCAGCCCTGACACGATTACTCATGGCTTTATAAATTGGGCTATGACTAAACCTTCTCCCAGCCTCAGCTGTCACCAAATTGCTTTGCTGACAACAGAAGCAACCTCCACAGCCCTGGGTGCCTCCTCCTCTACGAGGGGGGAAGTAAGAGCACCCAACACCCCCCTGACCAGAGAGGAGTCTGGACAATGAACAATGCCCAAAAGCTGCCACCACATCTCTCTGGGCTGCCTTTTGGAGGACTTGCATCACTGCAGAACTGCAGTTCTCAGGCAGTTGATGCCCAGAGAGCAGCTGGAGGTTGCTGGAGCATCTCTCCCTGCAGGCTGGGCACAGCTGAGCTCACACCCAGGTGCTGCCCCAAAGAAAACCTTTCATGAAACAACCTCTGCCAATGCTCCCTGCCCTTTTTTCACTCACACTAGTTAATCAACCTCCTTGGTGAACTTTGGGTCCTCTGTAGGAGAATAAAAAACAGGATAGAAATTTCTTTCAGCAAGCAAAATGTGGACACTTAAGCCCTCATATTTTGAGTACTGCTTGTCATTAAGCAAAAATTACTTTATTAGTTGCCTTTGCACTGCAAATAATTACATTTAGGCCATTAAATTGCCCCATTCAGTGTTTCTGCCTGCTTTTTGTCAACTGTGCATGTTCCATTTAATATTTAAAGACTGGGGCACTCCTCTGGCTTATTTAGTAATTAATTTCTTTAAATATTCATAGCACTTTGACTCTCAGCAAGGGTTCTGTTTGGTAAGAACAATACTGTTCTGTGCTTGATAGTGTCATGGAAATTTCAGAGGCAAATTTCCATTTTGTAGCATAAAAACATATAGATTTCTGCAACAGACTGTAATGATTTCAGAATAAAGTTTTTATTACTGAACATGTATGTACTGAAAAAAACAATCCAATTATGCCCTTGCACATAATTGCATACTGAAAACAGTGTTGAGAGATCTATTTTATGACAGCAGTATTCACACAGCAAAAGGAATCGCCCAAGAAATTTTCCATCACCTTTTTTTGAATTGCCACTGGCACAAAGAACAAAATCCAATTGCAAAAAAAGCCTAGGAAAGAGAGAGCACAACCTAGAAAATGCAGGAGGATATTTTGCTAGCATCTTTTCCCCTTAGAATATCGTTTTCCTTTTGAATACCCTGATTTTAAGACTTTTAGGCCCTTTGTGTGAAATGCTGTGTGCTTATCGAAAAACCTTAAAAGGCTTAAGCTTAAAGGCAGTCTTGGGAAATGAAAATAGCAGGAAGATGCTCCATCTGTGTAAATTTGTCTAGTAATCCTGATGGTGGGAAGGTGATCCAAACAGGAAAGAGACCTTGAAAGAGACTCTGCTACCCTGGATATAAGAAAGAGCAAGCCACAGTGGGTGGCTTTGCCAGCACTCAGGTGAGGCACACTGAGCCCGATTTTTTTAGGTAAAAATCAGCTGCAGAAGCACCCCATGGGAATGGGAACAGGAGGAAGTGGCACAGGAATCAGTCTGATGCTTGTCCAGCACACCACTGCATTTTCAGCCTAATTCACTGCTGCCTTTGGAAAGACTCCCCCAGCCCTCAAAACAGCAGTCTGTCTCCTCATCCCAGAAGAACTCTTTTTCCTAATAATTCACGTGCAACCAGGCTATTCTTGAACACCAGACAAGCAGCATTAACACTCCCAGAGACAGAACCCAGCCACAGTGCTTGCCTGCACTCACACGTTTATCATGTGGCGCTCAGCTTGTCCCAGGGAAGATGCAAAAACAAGGACCTAAACCAAGCTGGCCTCACAGAACACGTGCTGAGCTGCTTCTTAAACAGCAGGGCCTGGACCACAGATGCAAAAATCTCTATTATTGTTTGAACCTCTAATTGCAAGTTTCTGAGGGGAATTGCTGTTAGAGATGTGAGTGTAAATGCTCTGCTCTTTCACTCTTTCTTTGAAGCTCTCTGATACCCAAAACAAGCTGCTGGCAACTTAGAAAAAACTAATTGGTGGAAGTCACACTGAAAATGTGTTGCAGGGCACAGCATCCCCACCTCACTATCCTTAATTACAGAATCACTCTGCTTCTCTGGCCAGGAGGTGCTGATTTTAACACCCATTTAAAACCATTCCTGGCTCATCTCTCACAGCAGTGCAGGTAACACTGGAAAGTGATACCTGCCTAAGGCTGACTGACATTTCCCATTACAACAACCTACCTTCCAATGTAAGTGAAAGTTTGTTTGGCTTGTACTGAGGGTGAAATTTTCTATGATAGTTGTTCTTTCATTACAAGACTTTCCCTCCCAAGTCCCAGCATCTGCAAACAAACAGGCAAAGGCAATTTTAAAAAAGGTTTGACCTTTCAGCCACAAGTTTTCTGGCTTTGGTTAGCTCCAGCTATCGCTTTAATCACATCTTTTTATTTCATGCTCTGTGTGCTATGTGCCAGATTTTACTTTTAAGGAAGAAATGCTGGCATATGCTGTTGCCTAATCGATGTGTGGGGGAAAATAGTCATTAGGGAAAGCCTACAGAACAGGGTATTTTTAACATGAACTTCTGTGTTGTGGGAAAACATATGCCCCACACAAAATCACCAATGCTCAGTAATGGAATAGCCACATTTACACAGGATGTACACTGCCTGTCTTATAGCAGTTTTAACAACCTATGTCCTGATACATCCAGGCACACCAAAGCACCTTAAACTCCTGGGGGAAAATCCCCTGGGGTGTAAACAGCCCTGGCTCCATTCACTTCATTGAGGCCAGCTCAGGGCTTGCTTCAGCACCTGTGGCAGGAGCTCAGCTCTCCTTGGCTGCTTTGGGCTCCAGGACTGGGTAGGTCGCTGGCATGAATCAGCACCTCCCACCAGCAGCCGAGTGGGAGGGAAAATAAAAATGCAGTCGGAGTAAGCAGCAGAGAGGCCATTGATACCAAACGTCCTGGAGCAGCTCCCAGCCAGGGAATGACTGAACAGCAGCAGCATTCAGCAAGGATGACACAAGAGCTTGGATCAGGCATTTATGGAAGGGAGCAGAGGCAGCACTCTCAGCCTGCCAGAGCTGGTCCTGGCTGAGCCCCGGGGCCACTCCAGTGGCTGCAGTGCATGGGCAGGGCTCAGTGCCTGCAGCAGCTCCCTCACCCTTCTGACACACCCCTCTGGGGATGCTGGCCCAGCTCAGGTGTCAAACACCCACCCCAAAGCACATACACCTCTAACAGACCCTGGCTGGGATGTGCATCTGGGCTGGGCAGCAGGGAAACCCCCGGGCCAAGGCAAATCCTCACCACACCCTGTGTTCCTCCTACTTGGCAATGGGGGATCAATTTTGGCCTTGCTTGTCCTACCTTATGGGACTGAATCCCCATCTTTTACTTCACTTACACTTTGCCTGAGGATCTTGTGGGATCTGGTATACCCAGAGCCCTAAAAGGTGGTGTAGGTTTTCAGGTGTTGTTCTAAGGCTCAGAGAGTCACTCCTTGGCTGTGAGCCTTGAACAAACAGAAGGGAAAAAATCCCTTGGATTTGTTCTGCAGTGTAAGCCCCCAAATGCCTTTGCTAAAGCAGCCTCCACACAAAGGGGGATGCACAGAGGTGCCAGCAGCTGGCTTTGCCAACAGAGGTGAGAACCACCAGTGCTGGGGAGGCCAACAAGCTGGGGAGATAGGGTGAGCTGAAACCACACAAGTGTCATAACTAAGTCAAGTGCAAGCCAGGGAGAGAGGAAGGCACTTCACCTCCCAGGAAGAAACTCAGTGTCTCAGATTAGTGCACAGGCTGGGGGGAAATGGACAGAACATGGGACATTTCTGAGAGGGCTTCATACCACTCTTGGGACTTGCCATGCAAAAAGACTGTCTTTTACCTTAAGGAAACTATGGATAGTCATACCCATGGCCCACTGGAAGTGAGCGATTCTGAGGGGTGCAAACTTCTCAAAAGACTGCATGTTTCAGCAGCACAGAGATTACCATGTCCTCTGCAAGATGCCAGACAAGATTTGTAGATATGAGTCATAATCCAAAATTTTCAGCTGCATCCAGTCTGTTCTGCCTACGTTGGTCCTTAAAATTGAACAGTTTCATGCTCTCCTCTGCCAGTATCTCTCTTCATGCTCTTCCAGCAGCCACCTTTTCTCTATTTTGTCATTCTGAGCTTCTTTTCTCTTCCATCAAAACCCAGTAGGGATGTCTCAAACATTAGTAGTAGCAGGTCTCTCTTGAAGAGCAGGAACTTCCTATTTTTCTGCAAGCTTTCTTTGTGGAAATTGAATGTCTTTGGCTTTTTTTTAAATTATTTTTTTAAAGTTTGAATAGGAGACCAGATGGTTTTCAAGCTAACCTAAAGCACTGACCAATTCATCAACAAACCAAACACAGCAATTGAAGGGATTCAGATGCAGATGCAGACCTCTGATTTCTCCATCTCTCTCTTCATGGGAGTTTACTTCCCTTAAAATGGCAGTTAAGAGGTTTTGCACAGCAGCTAATTTGACTGTGTGGAACAGCATAAGCACTGGCAAAGATTAAAAGCAACAACATGTGATTCACAATGAAGACCTTCCTTTTTCCCTGTACATCCTCAGCAGTATCTCCCTACATCTGTCAAACCAGTGCCCTTGTGGCTGTGACAGATCCGTGGGGGTTAAGCAGTGTGAGCTGGCAGAGGGGCCATGATGTTTCTGTAATTACTGACAGCACACTCAGGAGCATGCTTGCTTTTTCCAGCTGTATCTGTGGCTAAACTAGCTGATATTACCATTCTCTATGGTTTTTGCCAACAGGATGCTTTCATCTGGATTTTGATACACAAGCACCTGTGGGTTTGTTTGCTACTACAGAAATGATGCTGCATCCTCACCTCTTTTTTTCCCCTTAGCACCATTAGCTTGAGTAATGCTGGGGGAGCTGCTGAAGGTCTGCTCCAATATTCTGTGTGCCCTCCAGCACATGTACAACACCTCTGCCATAAAAGCAAGCAAGCAACACACAGAGCAGGACCACCACAAAGCTAAATGTATTGGTTCCATGATGACTCAGGGACAGGAAACTAAACCCAGGCCCTTCCAATGTAAATCTATTTGCAAAGAGAAATTAAACCAAGTCCTAAGACTCTGGCCATAACTTGCAGCCAGCTGGGCCCCCTCCTGCTCTGACTGAAGGCAGCAGCCAAATTTCCATTGCCTTTGCTGGAAACACCTGCAGAGCACAGCAGCTGTGCCAATTTGCCAGGGGCAGCAAGGCAGGAATAGCAGCCCCATGTGGGACTGCAGGAGGGAATGTGACATGCAGGAACACAAACACCCACTCTGAGATCTGGCCACTGTGGACAGGGAGTGGATGAGAGGTTTGCAGCTGGGCTGGCAAACACTGGACACCAAATACCAAAACTGGTGTGAGCCCTGTGGCTGTACTGGAGCAACCACACTGATGGTGACCTTTGAGACCCCAACCACCCTTTCTGTCTTTCTCCTTTGCCCATCTGCTGACATCTTAAACACTTCCCTTCCACTGGCACTCTGTGCTTCCTTGCTCACACCCACGCTGCAGAATGGCCTCACCAGTCAGCAAACAACATCACTACAGCAAACTGCTCTTTCAGTCCACAGGCCAGTGGGTGGAAAACATGCACAAAGACATTTATCTGCCTGGCAGAGGCAGTAAAACAACAAAGAAGCCACCGAGCTGGGAGGCTTCTGAGAGAGAAACCTTAAGTGTCTGTGTGGGCTCATTGCTCTGTTGCTGACTGACATCAGCCTCTTTGGGCTCAGAGAGATCCATTTCATTTTAAAGGGAACTTTCCCCCAGGGATCTCATTAGCACCACCATGAAAGTCAGAAAGGAACTGAAGGTTGTTGGGGGAGGTAATGGTGAGGAGGTAAATAGGACAGAAGCACTGTCAGAGAGCACACTCAGAACTGTATTTTCTCTTTCTCATGCACACACACACTTTTTCTGTCAGAAAAACTCACTTGGCATTGCAGTAATGAACTATGGGGTTATATGTCTGTAGGTAAAAACACAGAGCTAACAGGCACCCTGTGGAGACAGATACTCAGAACAAAATCTTAACTTTCCCTCTGCAGAGCTGGAGCACACCATGCCAAGGTCATTCAAACATTCTGTTCTAGCCAACAGCATTGGACAGCAATGCCCACCCAGGGGCTGAATTTGGGCTGGACCACTGTTACCCTGGGGTAAGGATGCAGGCCAATTTAAAAGCCTGGTAGGTATAAATTATCATGTCTGATGTCCCAGCAACAAACACTGCATCAGTCAACACATCCCAAGCAGTTGCACAGATGCTCCTAAAGCAGTGCTGCCCTTCAGAGAGCAAGGTGCAAGGTCTGGTGTGGGTGAACCCCTCCATGGAGCATCTGGTGCTGAAGGTGGTGCTTGGACAACAATGTCTGTCTAAGAAAGTCACCTCTTTCTGGAGTGAAAGCAAAGCTTCCATGACACAAACAAAGCAGTGTCTTGCTCACTTCTTGTGTGACACATCAGGGCTACGTTCTGCCTGTGTTTGTTTCAAGAGGAACTGCAAGACATCATCTGAGAGTCCAGGTGTCCTCCTCCTGTTTTCCAACAAGACTTCTCCTTCAGCTGGCTTTGAAAAGCAAGCAGAAGGGGGGTGGTTTGGAAAGATCTTACATCCATCTCTGTTCAAGACCAGCTGTGCCATTTGCAGGCATCGTGACACATATTTTGTCCCATCTTTTTGCTCCAGCTCTGAAATCTTCTGTGACAGACACCGTGAGGCAGCCTCGTAGGTCGGATCCTCTCTCTCTGGCTGCTTTCTGCAATACATTTTGTAGAAGCAATCCAGAGAGTCCCTGATGCTGGGATCTTCTGCACCACCACGTTCATACATCCATGAGAGCACATCATTAGGTTCAGAGGGCTCACACAGCCCTGCTTTTAGGTAACAGCTCACGTTTGGTTCCTCAGAGCCTTCAGCAGAACAGGCTGCAGGACCTGCAGATGATGGATTGCTCTCTCCTGCAAACAGAGGATCAATGAAACTCATTAGTCACCTGGTCATCCCTGTGGCAAAGTCTTTTTCTGTCCCCCTCCCACTGCAGTCTGGCAAACAGGCTCTTTGCATGAGAAAGCAAGCGCTGCTCTGAACACAGCTGGGCTGCCACAGGGCCTTTCTGCACAGGTTGGTGTAAGATGGGCTGATTTGGGGATCACACAGTTGTCCCAGCCTTGACACTGCAGTGACTGGACCTACTTGGTGGTACAGATCTCCTGGCTCCTCTCAGTTACACTTCCAAAGAGGTGGAAATTGGGATCTGCTGCTCCTGGAGATGACAGCTGACCCACAAGGAAGTCTGGTTTGCAGCTGAGACGCTTCTGCATCTGTTTCAGTTTTTTCCCTTATCCCTGGGTCTAATCCTTACTTTTAATAGTTCTCAACTTTACTCCAGCACAACGTGCAGTCCTGACCTCCAGCTTTCAGCCAGATTCACAGCCTCCAAACCAACACTGTTCTGGTGACTGCATGGAGTTTCAGAATGAGGACTGCAAAGGAGGACTCGTGCTTCCCCCATGAAATCCCACTTTTGCAGCCCCACTGCACTAAACGCTCTCCCCGCACCCTGATGGATTTTTTATGGATAAAATTATTGCAAAAGCCAAGGACTTGTTTTTGCCTAGCTCTTCTCCTCCTTCCTTGCTGACCCACATCTCTGGATAACAGGGCTGTGGTTTTCTCTTGCTTCAGAGCATCAAGGGGGATGCTTTGCACTAATTAACACAGCACAACAGGGACACTTGGCAGTGACAAGACCAGGACAATCAGCCAGCTTCTAGGAGGAAGAAATTCCACAAAGAGACCTTGAATTGGGCTCTGGTAGCCAGGCAGTGCCTCTGACTGCAATCTCATCTCCAAGCCCACTGCATCAGACCGTTTGCCAAGCACCTGAGTCACCGACAAGGAAATTTTCCAGGGCTCAGCCAGAGGCTGCACAGCCGTCATCTGCAAGTTACATAAGCAGGATGCAGGCAGTCAGAAAATAGCTTGGTCTTTTCTAATTCTGTGAGATGTGAAGCAGAGTGCAGTCCTTCATTCTGGTAGGAGACCATGTTCAAAGGGAGTCTCAGTGTGCTGGCAGAAGGCTGTTTTTCTCTCCTGGTACAGAGAGCCACCCTTCCCTTCCTAAGCAGGGGTTCATTAACGTGAAATTAAGCTGTCTGTGCAAACACACTGTACCTCATCTCTTTCTTCCTGTCCCTACCTCCTATCTTTGATCTTCCCAATTGCACTTCATCTCTGATTATGCAATTTTAAATAGAACTTTCCCTCCCCTTGCAGTGTCACTTCCAATGCAGTACAAAGAAAAGCTTGGTGTCCTTCTTTTAACAGTGAGCTCTGGCATCAGAGTAGCAGAGCAGAGAACGGGTCCATTTTTCCTCAGTAACCCCTCAGCCCATGCTAAGTTAGAACTGAAGCCTCTTGCATCTCTGATAATTCAATCAAGTGGCAACTGGACTCCAGTGCCACTGGACTGTGGCAATTGCAGACCCCTGGGCTGTGCTGGCCTTTTGCTACCTCCTGCTCACAGCCACATTTTGTGACAGAGCAGCAGCTGCCTCCAGCTACGCACACCAAGCCGGCGTGACTCGGGAAAAGAAAAATTCTGTTGGTTTCATGTTGTCAGGGGAGACTTTAGCAATGCTGCTTTGCCTTTCTCCTACCATCTAAGTTTGGGTATTAGGAAAGATTTCTTCACAGAAAGGGTTGCCAAGCACTGGAACAGGCTGCCCAGGGAAGTGGCTGAGTCACCAGCTCTGGAGGTGTTTAAACAACATGTAGATGTGGCACTTGGGGACATGGTTCAGTGGTGGACTTGGCAGTGTGAGGTTTATGGTTGGACTCAATGATTTTAAAGGTCTTTTCCAAGTTCAGAGATTCTACTGCTTTTTATTCCACAGTCAGTATGGCCCATAAAGCTGACATCTTATGCTGAAGCACAACCCACCACAGAAGTGACCAGTAAGTGTCACAGGGGTATATTCTGGAGTGTGATTAATCAGAACATTCAGAACATACTTGATCATTATTATTATTGTGAGAACAGTTTTCTTTCAGTTACTGGTTCAGATTTATGCATCTCTATTTCCCAACAGTAGGTCCTATCCTCCTAGTGGATTACTTTTCCAGCAAGCCTTCTTAAAGCAAGATTGCCAACAGGGTTGGATGTCCCAGCCCTGGAGTGTTCAAAGCCAGGCTGGATAAGGCCTTGAGCAGCCTGATCTAAGGGGAGGTGTCCCTATCCATGGCAGGGGCTGGGACTATGCGGTCTTTAAGGTCCACTCCAACCCCTCAACATACTATGACATGAAAAGTTGGATGCAGAATTCCCAGAACCAATCTATACCTCACAAAGTGCTGCCTTTCCTCAGCTTTCCTGACAATTTCCCAATACATTCTCAAACTGTGTGTCAAGACTGATGTTTGAGAATATACCCAAACCTTTTCCTGCCTCAAAGTTACCAGTTAAGGTAGAGATCCTTCCTTGATACCCTCTAAAGAGCTGGTGCTGCTGTTGGAAGGTGCAAATCTCCTGAATGATTTATAAACCACAGACAACAAGCACAGCAGCAGGATGCCTGCAGGGTCCAGAAAGAGCTTCTCAGCTGGAGCACACACAGAGCACACAAGCACACATTGTAGACCAGCAAACATGCTGCTAAAGGCAAAGACAGCATTCAACTCATCAATCCCTTTGCCTCTCCATGCACATGCACCCATCAGAAAATCTGGGATTCTCTCATAACACACAGCAGTGCTGCTTCAAAGCCTAGACCTCTCTGGCCACCTCTCAGCAGCAGGAAAATGTAGTTTTATAAATGCCTTTGTAAAATCCTTCCATGGCAAGCTTAACAACACAGCTGTCACACACCCTTGTGTTGGCTTGGCCCAACACCTACAGGGGTCAAGGCAAAGATGAGCAAGGCTGAAAACTCTCACTTCTTTGCCTGCAATAGGATTTCATCACCAGAGAATCTGGCTCATTATTTTTAGCTATTTTCACTCATTTTTACTACCAAATATTAAAGGGGGGAAAAAGCACCAATAGAAAAGCCTCAAAAAACTGAAGCAGTCATTATTAATGTCTATTTCATTCTCACATGATGGATAATCATGAGTAAGAATGTATATTATTTCATCTGTTCCTCCACTCCATGCTAATTGAAGTTCAGCATTTGCAACTAATTAGTAAAAGAGCTGGGGGCAGATAAAAAGATAGATATTCTTGTGTTTATAAACCTGCTGATGAAAATTTAAAAGCTCCATCTGGTACAAGCACATAACCCTACTGCCTGAAGCACAAAACCAAATCCTGCTTTGAACCTGGGCCACTTTCAGTGAGGCAACAATGCAGCAATATTATTAGTTGCACTCAGAGAAAATGTAGCTGTTTGGGTTTCTGTATAACTCTGTTCAAGCACAGTGATGTTCTCACAGATTGCATTATTTCTCTTATCCCACCAGCCTGTCAGGATCTACCTGGGGTGACTGCAATCAAGAAAGGGTCTGTGGTTGCCATGAAGTGCAGTAACAACAGAAAAGTAAACACAGATGATGTCCCTGAGAGTTTCTCCAGCCCTCACCCTGTTCTTAGAAAATCCCTCCTTGCCCCTCCATCAGTCATGTCCATATGGCATGGGAAAGCTCAAGGAGAGGTGATCCTACTTGGACTAGAGCACAGCTCCCAACTGACCCAAACCTGTGCCTGTTCAGGGATGCATTCATCTGCACAGGGGGTGAGAACAGGTACCATGCTGCAGCTGAACTCCCTACAGGTATGGAGCACTTGAGACACTTGATGCATAGAAAAGCATATTTTGGTCTTTTTTTCTTTCCACCTGGCTGCTTTCCAGTGGGAGTGCATGTATCACCATGGGAGTGCAATTCCTCTCTGCTCAGGGAAGAAAGAAGAAATTTTAGGAGAATTTGGCAGGAGCTCTTTCTACCCCAATCTCACAAAGCACTTTAGCCTGCCAGTAATCACACACCTGAGTACTCAGAAATTGCAAATCTGGACATTTGAGAATCAAATTCTAATGCTCTTGCTTGCATTAAGAACATTTCCTCTGATTACAACAGTTAAAAACCCATGTGTGAGCTGCTGATCCCATTCCTTTACATGAGCTGAAATATATTTGCACTATAGGATTTTTATTACCACATTTAAATTGGAATAGCACCAAAAAGACAAGTATCAAGAAAATAAGTATGAATCTGCTAAATACTGCACAAACACTTATCACATTGAGTAAATGACAGGTCCTAAAGCCTTTTGGTGTACAGTACTGAATAATTGTAGAGATTACAATATCTGCCTTGCAGAAAACAGCTGTTGACTTCTTGGGCAAAGGGAAAATGAAATTTCTGATGACATTATCATTCAAAAAGACTTAGAAGCAAAGCAAATTTTTTCCTTGTGGGTATTTAAATTGTGAACTGAAAGTGAAAATAAGAATATAATAAGCCTTGCTACTTTGTTGTCTCCCTGGTGCCACACAAACCAGCTTTCTCCTGTTGTCATCTGCAGTAGGCTGCAGCTCACAAGATGGGATCTGTGAGACAATGCTTTACACATGACATAACCAGCTATATTCTTCATCTTCAGCCCACAGGAGTGGCACATGTGGCTGTGTCTGACTCTGAGTGCTGACCAAGAGCTCTGCTAATGCCAGCTGCTCTGACAGGAGACCTGGAGAAAGTGAAGGTGGGCAAAAGGCAGCAAAAAGGGAGGAATTTGGGGATAGGAGCAGAAAAGGGAGACAGTGACAGAGGAATAGCATTGGGTATGGCCCAGTACTGAGGCTGGCTCTCCGCTTTTTTTCTTCTTTCTGCTGCACATTTGTGGTGTGAAAAGTTGGGGGGGGATTCAATTTGCGTGGAACAAGACGTAAGCAGTTATTTTAGGGAAGCATAAAAACTCTTCCTTTTCAGTCTAACCCCCTTAGGAATCTGAAATTCAAGA